ATATATATATATATATATATTGAAAGATAAATAGAAAAGAAAATATACACATTATCGTTTTTGAAAATAGAAAATAAGTTTACAGCATTGTATAGAGAAATGTGTCCGGTTTTATATATAAATCAATCGTATAAACAAAAATACAAACTTCTTTACGACATGAATAATATTTGCTCATTCTTATATATCGCATACATTTTGAAAATAATAAGAAAATTATGAAAAAATTACAGATTATTCTAAATCGCATTTAAAGGTAATACAACACATTTTTTTAGTGACGGTGTATTATTTGAATCATAAGTTGTTTTAACAAATAGTAGTATTTTTTAAATCTGTGCTGTAATAGAAATGTATAGAAATATACTATAAAATAAATTAGAAAAATCCCAGTTTTTTAATGTAAGTACTTTATAGTTATTCAAAGTATTTATGTAAAGTTATATTGCGATGCATGGACTAGTTGTTCAATAAATGAACAAAATATTTATTTGTTCTAAATCTTTGTAACTAATCATTGTAATTAAATTGAAATGAAACTTTGTATAAATTAGTTTGAAAACTCAAAGTACTTATAACTCGATTTATTTAAAAAAATTTAGATTTTTGTTATCATTTCTTAATTTTAGTTCATAAAATAATAACAATAATAACAAATAAAATAAATAAACTAAAAAATGTACGTGTTGTTCAACAAAAACAAAACATAAACACAATTATTATATGTATATAGTTTGTTTAAAGTATAAGTATTAACACATTTGTAAAACTAGATAAAATACATCCTTAACATAGATTCCTTAACATTTTTTTGGTGCATCATTTTTCACCGGAATGGAATATTTTTATCGCTCATATTTAAAAAATATGTGCGTTTGAGTCATGTCGTGCCGTGACTAAACGTGCAACAATATCATGAGTAAAAGGCGATGCATCGTGTTAAGACATTTTACTTATGCTGTTCATAATTAGTTTGAATGAAATATTACTGCGCGTAGAAGTTCCGCGAATGCAACTGAGAGGGTACTAATTTGTTAGCTGCTAGCCGATAATCAATTGTTTGTAGAATTACTCTGATCGATTAATTGGAAAATACGCGCTCGAGCTTCGGGCGCGGGTTTAAGGGGACCAGAGAACGATGGAGTAATCGCTATTATCCTGGATCGATTATCAGTCTAACAGGATGTGGAAACCAGCCGCGATCGTCTAGTGACAGGCCATTATTATTTATAAACAATTACGCGCAAATTGACGCTATTAATGGTGATACTGGGTGAAATATCGACTACTGAAAAAATTATGATTGATGGCAATAAATGTATACACAGTATTGGATTTCGCAATTAAAGGAAGCTAAAATTACTCGTAATCAGATTATCAGGAGTGATAGGTCACGGAGAAATATTCTCATATCTCAAAGAGATATTAGAGAGATTTGAAGCAGCAATGCTTACTGTCTAACGATAAGTCTCGATACTATCTAATGTGTTTTCTTTCAATCATAAGCACTAAGGAATAAATTGAAAAACATATTGATTATTTCGATTAATAGCTTTATTAGTATTAATAGAGTTCGGAATATACATAATTGAAAATTAAAACCTTTCCGGGATAGATATTACGTGTCGAAACATGTACGTTTGTTTAGAAAGGATTTTAAAAATTGCGAAATTATAGAAAATCAAATTAAAGAACAGTAAAAATTCTACTCAAATAATTCATAAATATTGTAAAAGCGAATTTATATTCCCATCGATGTAACAATGAAACAAATATCTACATATGTATATCAGTTAAATAGTTCGGAAAAATACTTCGTTTTTCTTTCAACTTGTTGCAATTTCATATATGGACACGATAACTTGAGTCTCATAAATGCACGTACTCACTAAAATCTTGCGTGAATGAAAAACTATAATTAACGCTTTGACTTCTCGATATGGAAAAATCCTTTACAATCTTGAATGTACTATTTCGATATTGACTATATCCTACGATTATAATCAATGATTAAAAGAAGACGTTTCCACCGTCCACGATTATTTCCTACTTGCGCTGCTATTATCATAGGGTTATCGTGGTGCAAGTTGTAGAAATGAAATCATGTGTTTTTCCCAAATAAACACAACATAACAAGAATTGAGATGGTGTAGTATAAAGAGCAAGATCACTGTCAAGGTCTAAACGATTCTATTCTATTAAAACAAGCAGAATTCGCAGTAAAAATGGCAAATTAAACGAACGCAGAATAATCGTGGAACAAAGAAATATTAAGTCAGTTAATCGATTTTGCTTTCTAAGTAAATTTGTAATATGAAATCTCGACATATTTATAAAAAAATGTTACCTTATTTAAAAACAGTGAATACATTTTTTTATAACAATTCATAGATTTATATAGAAATTACAATTATTGCAAGCTGCAAGACCGGAAAAATGTTTTGACTTTTATTTTTTACAAATAAGCTGTATTTTATAATCCACTTGTTTAAATAAAAAACTATACTGAAAATTTTTCATCAATAGTGAAATTGAATTTTATTTGCAAATTTTTATTATATTAACACTATACATGAAATTGCGGCACATAACAATCTTGCAACAATGTCAATAAAATTTTGCAAATCCACGTCTGGATAATCCAGGTCTCGCGCGTGACGTTTATCAATAATATGACGTAAAATTTCTTTTGAAGTTTTCATGAACGTAATATCGCAAGGAAAAGTGCTATAGGAGGTAATGAAGTGCTAATACGAGTGGATGCTATATAAGATGATCGCAGTACCAGCTGAGTCAGTCATTCTTTTACAGACTGCGGCAACATAAGGATCATTCGGTCTTTACGCGATAAAGTAGTGATATATAAATAATAAGCAATAATATACGTAAGAATTATTATTTCTTGGTTTTTCCGCGTTAACTTACTTCATCGACTGATCGACGATATCATCAGAAAAATGGATAGTAGGATCTTCGCATTGTTCGCTTTGGTTGCTGTCTTAGGATCCTTTACGGAGGCTCGATCCGGTTTTGGTTATCCTTACGGATGTGAGTAGGCGATCTTGAGGTTCCATTTTTCTCATTCATGAGTTTAACAGTTTTCTATTTGTTTACTAATATGATACTGTACGTTTGAACGCACCAAATATTTTAACATCAATTGTTTTCCGCAATTAAGACTCACATTTAGATTGCAATTACGATATTAAAGTATTTTTATGTGAGAAAATCTTTTTTACATTTTTTATTACAAATGTTTGCTACTAAGAGTTCAATGTACTAATATTTATGAGAACAGGGTGGGAAGATAAATTGCGCACTAGAAATTAATATATTCATCGTAATTAAAAAGAATCATGAGTTCAATGCATAACATTTTTTTCCTCCCATCTTTAATCAGATAATCTTTTTAGTGTTTTGTACAATATGTGATATAATATGTAAATGATATCGAGCTAATTCTGCAATGTTAATTATTAATGAAATCAATTATTAAAAAAAGAATTGCTTATTGCTACATACATCAAGGTTGATAAAAGTTAAAACCAGTATTAAGTTATATAACAACAACGTTGTGCATTTAACCAGAAATAGCTGACGGTGCACGGGAATTTCAGGATAATTGCGAGAGTAGCAAACGCAGCAAAATTCCACGACGAATTCGATGTATAATTGATTTCATGATTTTAATCAACGCCAAAGAAGAGGTTTATTGTCAGACTGTTGGCATTCTCTTTGTGAACGTAAACATTTAGAAATTGTACGATTGTAGATAAAGATACTTCGAAAAATGAATAATTTACGATAATCTTTTATTTATGGCATTAATTATTTTGCTATAAATATTGTCACTAATCTTTACCAAAAATCTTTTTACAGACATTCATAACTCATCGTTGAATCAATAAACAAGCTTTTTTCAGTGACTTGAAATTATTTATGATTTATGATAATTGTGCAAATACGTTAATTTGCGTGAGGCAATTTACACATTTAATTTCTTTTTCTTTTTTTCAAGATTATCCATTAATAGTACTAATATTTTTTATTTATAAATAAGGATATAACATAAATTTCAGCTATCATTATTATATCTTGATTTTATCATACACGTCTTACTTGTCTATGTTATTCTCAATATTTTGTTCTTGATTAATTACAATTATCATAATATTTAAATATATGACAGAAAATTAGAAAAAGAAAATAACACGTGCATTATACATAATTTTATTTGACACAACTGACAAAATTATCCACGCCGATTGTTTCGTAAAAATGGAATATAGAAACATTGAAGATTGTTGCATTAATATCGTTAGTGATTAAATCGTCATTAAATCATCATTAAATCGTCGATTGCTAAGAGCGTGAACGATATTAATCGTGATAACCAAGATTGATGTTCGTCTGTGCAACCATGCGTTTTCCGTGATACAACATGCTCGTCTGCGCATATAAACGCATGCGTAACTACTCACACGACTGCTAGCCAAATGAAGATAATTTGACGCCTGTAGACCGTGACCTCATTCCGTTCTTTACCTTGACTCATAAGAAGATACTTTCTTTTTTATTATCTTTTCATATTTTCTCTTTTTCGTTTTCTTGTCTCGTGCATGACACGCTATTCTTATCATATTGGTATATAAAATATACGACTAATTGACTTATTAAAATGTGCCTACTTTTGTTTAAACAGAAAAAATTTACCAGTGAAATATATTTTCTAATATAAAATGGAAATTTACAATATATAATATGTGTGCATTTGTAGTAATGAGATAATTAAATAATAGAAAGGTAAATTGAAAAAAAGAGTTTTAATTTAAATACAATACTAATAAATAAGATGAAATAGTGAGATGAAGCATACGTAAATATCAATGGTTTTAAACATCATAATATTATCAAAAAAGAAATGCTATAAGTACGTGGTTTATCAAATTAACGTGACTGTGCAACTTTAATTTTTCATGGTTAATGTCACGTTCATGGTTAATCACACATTGTTAAGTTATCATTAACTTTTATCTAATTAAGCTGAAGATGAGTCAGTGATAAAAATAATTTGTTCGCAACTATATTTTAATGGCAAGTTTTTTAATAATTTGATAGACTGATGGTTTTTATATTATAAATAGTTCTGGATTTGAACCAGGATTTTAATTGTCGTATATTTTATATGAATGATTTTTAAATGTTTCCCGAATATTAGTATCTCCTTATAAAATACTACATGTATATGTATAGCATTTAAATCTGAGCACATCACATTATGTTTATTAAACATTATTATTTATGCAATGTTGTGATTAGTAACACATCTATTAAATGTTATCTATTATCTATTAAGCATTATTATACGCATATTGTAATTGTGTAAGTGTGACTAGTAATATTTCTAGTACATAATTGCGTGTCTCTGGTGATGGAATTTCAAGATATGCTCATAAGACATGTTACAACTAACAATGCTTTTTCAACCAGTAGCTGAGAATCATCAACAAAACGAGTTTCACCTCAAGTAGCAACAATCGATAAAAAATTGCTCTTCTGTTTTCGTTTCTTTTCGAAGCTGGAGGACAACACGCCGACAGACCGTTCGCCACGATGTCCAGAGTGAAGCGAGAAATTGACGATTCGAATGGTGAGAGTACCACCACACCTACTACCAGTCAAGCAACTACAACAACCTCCTCGACATCAGATCCTACAACAACACCATCATCGACCACACCATCATCGACCACATCATCATCGACCACACCATCCTCAACTACACCATCCTCAACTACACCATCATCGACTACACCTCCAACGTCGCCTACAACTACCCCATCCACTGAACCAACTACTACACCAACCACTACCACAGAGGCGACGTCTCCCACGACTACTCCGACCTCCACTTCTGCCAGTACTCCCACATCCACTTCTACTACTCCAACAACTCCATCCACTACGCCTAGTACAACTTCAGAAAGTACGAAACCAACTTCCGAGAAACCGAGCGACATTCAGCCACGTTCGAATGTCGACGAACCTGAAGAATCCACTAAGAAACCTGAACCTAAGAATGAAGCGCCAACTCCTGGACCATTTGGCGCTCCCGGATTTGGATCCGGATTCGGACCCGGATTCGGATCTGGTTTCGGACCTGGATTCGGACCCGGATTCGGTTCTGGTGGTTATGATTCAGGTTTCGATTCTGGATTCAACTCTATACCAAATTATAATGTACCGAACTATGCATGGACCGGTACAAACGGCGGGCCCGGATTCGCATCCGCAGGCGCGTCCGCTGGAAGTTTTGGATATCCAGGATATCCAATGGGATTTCCCACGGCGGCTTCACCGACAGGATTTCCGACGCCGTCTTTCGGTAGTCGAGGAGGATTTCAAGATAATTTACCAAATCAGGATAATCCACCAAATAAGGATGACTCACCGAGCAAGGATATATCACCGAACAAGAATAATTCACCAAATCAGAACGGATTCAATTTCGGCGGAGGTACGAGCATGAACCCAAAAATGCAAGAACGAAGACTGACTCAGAATTGTGGAGGATAATGAATAAATTGGGGTTGCATGCTATGGTTTGGACATTTCTCGGTATTTGTAAAAGATCGGCAAAAGATTGAAACCAATTGGATATCAAAGGCAAAGAAGAGACATCAGAATTACGTATCTCGAAATTTGTTTGGCGAAATCGTGCTGATGTTCTTTTAAAAATGCATGATATTCTGTCGAACGTAATTGGATCTTATACTATATAAAGCGACTAATGTCGTGATAATAATTTTTGACATTTATTTATTTATTTATTTATTTATATTATATTCGCGTGCGTTTATATATTTATATTATTTATTTATATATTTATTTACTTGTATGTGTGCATTTATGTATTTATTTATTTATTTGTTTAGGTACACTTATTTTAGATAGTTTATATGATTTATAAGTAAATGTAATTGCATGTATATGCATGATTTTAACAATATGTTGTTATTTGTATCTTATCGTGTACTGTATTTTTTCGCAGATCCGTATAATCCAGGACCCGGATTCTTTTACCCAGGGCAATTTCCTAGTTTTAATGATCCTACTTTTAATATGATCAAACAAATTCAGGCGCAGATCGAGGCGCAACATAAGGCGTAAGTCTTCGAGTAATATAAATTGCAAATAATCGAAGCATAAAATTAACTTGAGCGGAATTCCTTGAAATTATATTTATAAAATCATTTGCACTTACGCAATTTCAATATCGTTTTAACATTTAACAACAGAGAGCTCTTTCAAGTCTGTCATTTAGTTAATAAAATAGATCTCTCTCTAAATATATAAATTCTAGATTAATTTGATCAATAAGTATATATTTAAGTACATATTTAAAAATATTGAAGTTATTTTAAATTTAAAGTAAAACTTTTTATGTATAAAATTTTATTACATAATTAAAACAGCATTGTCCCTATAATTAATTACTGTAAAATTTTGGATTATTTGCTCTTTTGGTGATATTTCTTCCCGTATTTCGTTTTAGGAATTGTCTATCTAGTTTCTTATGCTGAAGATCAAGGAGAAACATTCAATGTTTTGTATCTAATATTTTTAATTTTTAAAAAATGTAATTGCAAATTATCTCATTCATACATTGCTAAAGCACATTGTAAATAAGAATTTGTATTGTATAGCAACATGGAGCTCCACAATCGTTTGGCCAATGAAGCCGCTAATTACGATGGTAAAAATTACGGTGGCGGCATACCTCAGGTTGCGAGTGCCAGCATTGGTTTAGGCCCATATGGTGGTTTTCAATCTGGTCAAATCAGTCCCGTGAGTTTTACGTTTTTTTCACGAGTTATCGCACGCAAAAAGCAATACAGAAATTGTCCAGTTAATATGCTTCATTTTGCACACAATCAGATTCCAGTCTACTCAATATAGTGTTTATTACCGGCGATCTATCCGTCATAGGCTTCTCCAGGAATAGAGTCCAGATTTGCTGATGATCTTCCTCCGCCATCGGGTAACAGCTTCGGAGTATTCTCTAGTTCGAGCTCCTCCAGCATGACCGGTCCGGATGGCAGGCCGATTAACCATAAATCTTCCATTACAGGCGTTAATGATAATGGAAAAATTTCTTATCGTACTCTGTATGATTAATTAAATTATGCTCTTAATCGTGTCTATGTTTATAATCATTAATTTACTATCATGTACTGTATAGAACGTACCATGATAATGATAAAGTTTTATAATTCAAAATTGTTGATATTACAAAGTCAGATTGTAACATAAAATTCTCAAAACTCAGGGTTAAATATTTCCTTAAGATTACCACACAAATACTCAAGTTTCTCTTAGAACTAATATCCTTTCTTAAAAGTTATAACTTTTATATACACGATATACACATTTAAAAATCTTGACAAAATCTTTACGTGAGTGTTATGTTCTACTCGAACGGAGGCTCGATCCGGTTTTGGTTATCCTTACGGATGTGAGTAGACAATCTTGAGGTTCCATTTTTCTCATTCATGAGTTTAACAGTTTTCTATTTGTTTACTAATATGATACTGTACGTTTGAACGCACCAAATATTTTAACATCAATTGTTTTCCGCAATTAAGACTCACATTTAGATTGCAATTACGATATTAAAGTATTTTTATGTGAGAAAATCTTTTTTACATTTTTTATTACAAATGTTTGCTACTAAGAGTTCAATGTACTAATATTTATGAGAACAGGGTGGGAAGATAAATTGCGCACTAGAAATTAATATATTCATCGTAATTAAAAAGAATCATGAGTTCAATGCATAACATTTTTTTCCTCCCATCTTTAATCAGATAATCTTTTTAGTGTTTTGTACAATATGTGATATAATATGTAAATGATATCGAGCTAATTCTGCAATGTTAATTATTAACGAAATCAATTATTAAAAAAAGAATTGCTTATTGCTACATACATCAAGGTTGATAAAAGTTAAAACCAGTATTAAGTTATATAACAACAACGTTGTGCATTTAACCAGAAATAGCTGACGGTGCACGGGAATTTCAGGATAATTGCGAGAGTAGCAAACGCAGCAAAATTCCACGACGAATTCGATGTATAATTGATTTCATGATTTTAATCAACGCCAAAGAAGAGGTTTATTGTCAGACTGTTGGCATTCTCTTTGTGAACGTAAACATTTAGAAATTGTACGATTGTAGATAAAGATACTTCGAAAAATGAATAATTTACGATAATCTTTTATTTATGGCATTAATTATTTTGCTATAAATATTGTCACTAATCTTTACCAAAAATCTTTTTACAGACATTCATAACTCATCGTTGAATCAATAAACAAGCTTTTTTCAGTGACTTGAAATTATTTATGATTTATGATAATTGTGCAAATACGTTAATTTGCGTGAGGCAATTTACACATTTAATTTCTTTTTCTTTTTTTCAAGATTATCCATTAATAGTACTAATATTTTTTATTTATAAATAAGGATATAACATAAATTTCAGCTATCATTATTATATCTTGATTTTATCATACACGTCTTACTCGTCTATGTTATTCTCAATATTTTGTTCTTGATTAATTACAATTATCATAATATTTAAATATATGACAGAAAATTAGAAAAAGAAAATAACACGTGCATTATACATAATTTTATTTGACACAACTGACAAAATTATCCACGCCGATTGTTTCGTAAAAATGGAATATAGAAACATTGAAGATTGTTGCATTAATATCGTTAGTGATTAAATCGTCATTAAATCATCATTAAATCGTCGATTGCTAAGAGCGTGAACGATATTAATCGTGATAACCAAGATTGATGTTCGTCTGTGCAACCATGCGTTTTCCGTGATACAACATGCTCGTCTGCGCATATAAACGCATGCGTAACTACTCACACGACTGCTAGCCAAATGAAGATAATTTGACGCCTGTAGACCGTGACCTCATTCCGTTCTTTACCTTGACTCATAAGAAGATACTTTCTTTTTTATTATCTTTTCATATTTTCTCTTTTTCGTTTTCTTGTCTCGTGCATGACACGCTATTCTTATCATATTGGTATATAAAATATACGGCTAATTGACTTATTAAAATGTGCCTACTTTTGTTTAAACAGAAAAAATTTACCAGTGAAATATATTTTCTAATATAAAATGGAAATTTACAATATATAATATGTGTGCATTTGTAGTAATGAGATAATTAAATAATAGAAAGGTAAATTGAAAAAAAGAGTTTTAATTTAAATACAATACTAATAAATAAGATGAAATAGTGAGATGAAGCATACGTAAATATCAATGGTTTTAAACATCATAATATTATCAAAAAAGAAATGCTATAAGTACGTGGTTTATCAAATTAACGTGACTGTGCAACTTTAATTTTTCATGGTTAATGTCACGTTCATGGTTAATCACACATTGTTAAGTTATCATTAACTTTTATCTAATTAAGCTGAAGATGAGTCAGTGATAAAAATAATTTGTTCGCAACTATATTTTAATGGCAAGTTTTTTAATAATTTGATAGACTGATGGTTTTTATATTATAAATAGTTCTGGATTTGAACCAGGATTTTAATTGTCGTATATTTTATATGAATGATTTTTAAATGTTTCCCGAATATTAGTATCTCCTTATAAAATACTACATGTATATGTATAGCATTTAAATCTGAGCACATCACATTATGTTTATTAAACATTATTATTTATGCAATGTTGTGATTAGTAACACATCTATTAAATGTTATCTATTATCTATTAAGCATTATTATACGCATATTGTAATTGTGTAAGTGTGACTAGTAATATTTCTAGTACATAATTGCGTGTCTCTGGTGATGGAATTTCAAGATATGCTCATAAGACATGTTACAACTAACAATGCTTTTTCAACCAGTAGCTGAGAATCATCAACAAAACGAGTTTCACCTCAAGTAGCAACAATCGATAAAAAATTGCTCTTCTGTTTTCGTTTCTTTTCGAAGCTGGAGGACAACACGCCGACAGACCGTTCGCCACGATGTCCAGAGTGAAGCGAGAAATTGACGATTCGAATGGTGAGAGTACCACCACACCTACTACCAGTCAAGCAACTACAACAACCTCCTCGACATCAGATCCTACAACAACACCATCATCGACCACACCATCATCGACCACATCATCATCGACCACACCATCCTCAACTACACCATCCTCAACTACACCATCATCGACTACACCTCCAACGTCGCCTACAACTACCCCATCCACTGAACCAACTACTACACCAACCACTACCACAGAGGCGACGTCTCCCACGACTACTCCGACCTCCACTTCTGCCAGTACTCCCACATCCACTTCTACTACTCCAACAACTCCATCCACTACGCCTAGTACAACTTCAGAAAGTACGAAACCAACTTCCGAGAAACCGAGCGACATTCAGCCACGTTCGAATGTCGACGAACCTGAAGAATCCACTAAGAAACCTGAACCTAAGAATGAAGCGCCAACTCCTGGACCATTTGGCGCTCCCGGATTTGGATCCGGATTCGGACCCGGATTCGGATCTGGTTTCGGACCTGGATTCGGACCCGGATTCGGTTCTGGTGGTTATGATTCAGGTTTCGATTCTGGATTCAACTCTATACCAAATTATAATGTACCGAACTATGCATGGACCGGTACAAACGGCGGGCCCGGATTCGCATCCGCAGGCGCGTCCGCTGGAAGTTTTGGATATCCAGGATATCCAATGGGATTTCCCACGGCGGCTTCACCGACAGGATTTCCGACGCCGTCTTTCGGTAGTCGAGGAGGATTTCAAGATAATTTACCAAATCAGGATAATCCACCAAATAAGGATGACTCACCGAGCAAGGATATATCACCGAACAAGAATAATTCACCAAATCAGAACGGATTCAATTTCGGCGGAGGTACGAGCATGAACCCAAAAATGCAAGAACGAAGACTGACTCAGAATTGTGGAGGATAATGAATAAATTGGGGTTGCATGCTATGGTTTGGACATTTCTCGGTATTTGTAAAAGATCGGCAAAAGATTGAAACCAATTGGATATCAAAGGCAAAGAAGAGACATCAGAATTACGTATCTCGAAATTTGTTTGGCGAAATCGTGCTGATGTTCTTTTAAAAATGCATGATATTCTGTCGAACGTAATTGGATCTTATACTATATAAAGCGACTAATGTCGTGATAATAATTTTTGACATTTATTTATTTATTTATTTATTTATATTATATTCGCGTGCGTTTATATATTTATATTATTTATTTATATATTTATTTACTTGTATGTGTGCATTTATGTATTTATTTATTTATTTGTTTAGGTACACTTATTTTAGATAGTTTATATGATTTATAAGTAAATGTAATTGCATGTATATGCATGATTTTAACAATATGTTGTTATTTGTATCTTATCGTGTACTGTATTTTTTCGCAGATCCGTATAATCCAGGACCCGGATTCTTTTACCCAGGGCAATTTCCTAGTTTTAATGATCCTACTTTTAATATGATCAAACAAATTCAGGCGCAGATCGAGGCGCAACATAAGGCGTAAGTCTTCGAGTAATATAAATTGCAAATAATCGAAGCATAAAATTAACTTGAGCGGAATTCCTTGAAATTATATTTATAAAATCATTTGCACTTACGCAATTTCAATATCGTTTTAACATTTAACAACAGAGAGCTCTTTCAAGTCTGTCATTTAGTTAATAAAATAGATCTCTCTCTAAATATATAAATTCTAGATTAATTTGATCAATAAGTATATATTTAAGTACATATTTAAAAATATTGAAGTTATTTTAAATTTAAAGTAAAACTTTTTATGTATAAAATTTTATTACATAATTAAAACAGCATTGTCCCTATAATTAATTACTGTAAAATTTTGTATTATTTGCTCTTTTGGTGATATTTCTTCCCGTATTTCGTTTTAGGAATTGTCTATCTAGTTTCTTATGCTGAAGATCAAGGAGAAACATTCAATGTTTTGTATTTAATATTTTTAATTTTTTAAAAATGTAATTGCAAATTATCTCATTCATACATTGCTAAAGCACATTGTAAATAAGAATTTGTATTGTATAGCAACATGGAGCTCCACAATCGTTTGGCCAATGAAGCCGCTAATTACGATGGCAAAAATTACGGTGGCGGCATACCTCAGGTTGCGAGTGCCAGCATTGGTTTAGGCCCATATGGTGGTTTTCAATCTGGTCAAATCAGTCCCGTGAGTTTTACGTTTTTTTTCATGAGTTATCGCACGCAAAAAGCAATACAGAAATTGTCCAGTTAATATGCTTCATTTTGCACACAATCAGATTCCAGTCTACTCAATATAGTGTTTATTACCGGCGATCTATCCGTCATAGGCTTCTCCAGGAATAGAGTCCAGATTTGCTGATGATCTTCCTCCGCCATCGGGTAACAGCTTCGGAGTATTCTCTAGTTCGAGCTCCTCCAGCATGACCGGTCCGGATGGCAGGCCGATTAACCATAAATCTTCCATTACAGGCGTTAATGATAATGGAAAAATTTCTTATCGTACTCTGTATGATTAATTAAATTATGCTCTTAATCGTGTCTATGTTTATAATCATTAATTTACTATCATGTACTGTATAGAACGTACCATGATAACGATAAAGTTTTATAATTCAAAATTGTTGATGTTACAAAGTAAGATTGTAGCATAAAATTCTCAAAACTCAGGGTTAAATGTTTCCTTAAGATTACTACACAAATACTCAAGTTTCTCTTAGAACTAATATTCTTTCTTAAAAGTTATAACTTTTATACACGATATACACATTTAAAAATCTTGACAAAATCTTTACGTGAGTGTTATGTTCTACTCGAATAATATTGAGTAAATGCAACACTTTTGACGACTATTCTGCATTTATAATTATTACATTTATATACTTAAATATATTCATATTATTGTATCTACTATGCATAAATTAAACTCTTGACGCTTTTATGTTGATTTCTTAATTTTATTATGTGATCATTAAATTGCTTTTAATAATACGATTAATATTATAACAATATTTACATCATTAAAGTTTTACATACAATTTAATAAATTATTTTATAATTAATATGTGTCGTCGCCGGGTTTGGTCTTGCTAAGTGGCGGTTCAATCTTATCATCCACTATAGGTCTATCTCGTACCCGTGTCTTATGACCCCGAAATCTCACGTTACCATGATTTCCAAAATGATAATTCCAATACATTTGAGGCTGTCGAAAAGTTCGTCCATACCGGGGCTCACCATATCCATGATAATTAGATTGAACCTGTTACGATAGAAGAAGAGCATATCTTTAAGATATTGAAATATTGCAAAAAATCTTTTAAACTCACTTCAGATGGTATATATAGTTGTGTTAAACTGTTAAGGAGATAAAATTCTGTAAAATTCTATAATTTTATGTACTATGAAATATAAAAAAAATTTGAAGAAATAAACATCTATATAAAATTTACATTAAAACATATACACGATATTCAAATATATAGCATGTAGAATTGTAAATAGAATTCTACCTAAAATCTATACACAATTATATGTACATCATCGAAAGTGAGCTTTAATTACTTGAATATTGACTCTCATGCATTAAATCTTATATAGTGGAACAAACGAATTTTCTCACCTGTGGAATGTTATTGAAATATAAATGCCCGTCTATTGAACGTGGCGAATTTATTGAATGAAAAATTGGTTGCTTATCATAGTCCTCACTGATACCTCGAAAACCATTGATTACTGGAACATCATCAATCTTAACATTCGGTTTTGCTTTCGTGATAATACTGAAATACACTTCGGTGACGATATTTCCTTTTTCATCTAATTTCGAGGAAATGGATACGTTACATATACTGTTTTTGCAAGAATTTTCATTTGGCATACTATCGTTGCTATTCACAACGACTTGAATATTATTGATTATTTTTGGTTGTTTCGCTGAATTTTCCTACAAAAAATTTAATTATCGCATTACCTTAAAAGAACTACAATAGTTTTTAACGCCAATATATTATATGGTTAATAACTTACTAATAATAACATAATACTTTGAAATGAAATAATTAATTTTCATAATGATTAATCGAAACTCTGTAAAACTTCTTAATACAGAATGAAAATTATTTAATGCTGTTCTACCAATGTAAATTAACTTTCTTTAATCTCAGTTCAACTTATTCAATTAGAAAAAGATAAATAGTTAGTTGAATAGAGATTAAAATTTAACTTCAGTAAAAACGAGTATAGGTAAGTGTGTCAAATATTAGATAATCATAGGAAATAGTAGAAATACAAATAAGGAAATAGAATTGGATTTAATATTAGTTACACATTAGGTTAGCATCTGTAAATTTAGTATGCTTAATTATTTATTTCATTAAATTAATTTGATAATAATAAATGTTCTAACATTTTTGATACTTATTAGTATTTCAAATATACCTACTGATGGATTTTCGACTTATAAAATTTATATAAACTTGCTATCTCTCTCTCTCTCTCATGAGTGTTTAAGAGATAAACTAATATATAAATTTGAACTAATTTTGGATATTTTTAGAATGTGTATACATTACACGTAAATGTTTAATAACTGATTATTTGAGAAAGCTATAATGTTGCGAAATAATTAATTTGATATTAGCTTTTAATAGCTTTACATTTGATATACGTAAAATTAAAAGATGAATAATAGATTATGGATCGATTGAATAATAATTCTCTTAAATTAAATTGAATTGAACGCTTTAATTTAATTCTAAATCTGATTTTAAATTAAAAAACTGAGTTTAATTTAATGTGCTTATACTTAACATTAAGACTTGGAAGTTATTGACTATGGATAAAATAAATCGGATTATTTCTTAATTTTGTCTTCCACTACAAAATAATAATGCTTGATAATAATTATTGATTCTTATATATCATAATTTATCTAATTTATATAATGTATAATTTTTAACATTAAATTGAAAATTAAATTAAGCTCAAATTAAATATAAGCTAATTTTTTAATCATTATACTATTCATATTGTATAATTATTCATATATAAATTATACCTATTTTATATATAAATTTAATTTTCCAATTATTTTTAATTGCGTGATCTATTATTTGTTTTATTTTATGGATATATGGAAATTGTAAATCTGTTAAAGCAACTACTTTATAACATTTTCTTGAAAAACTAGTTATGATGCACAAATATCTAAAAAATTCACATGTAAATACGTAAAAAATGAGCGCAATTATAGAGTATTTATTGTTTTTTACAAAAACTCAACTCGCGACTACATAATTTTTTTTTATGACGTCTATTACTCACATGCAATGTATAGATCCTTCTTTTTCTCGGTTCTTTTACGAACTCGTTTCCCTGACGCCAGATTAATGTCGATGGGTTAGATGCACGCAAAATTGATTCCGGTGAATTAGCAGATTTCTTTAAATTTAAGATCGTGAAGGTCGGATTGTCTAATGTTTCTTCATTTTCGTTGGAATCCAAATCGACTTTTGACGAAACTTTGACACTTGTGCCAAAATTATTAAAAATCATGATCACAAAACAACCGGTGAGAATTATTCTCGTTTGCATTTTCATTGTTCGTTTGCGAATACACTGGGGACACTGATTTTTCATAAAATACTTGTATCACGATGCATGTTGTTTTAAAGAAGGGATAAATAGTCATATAGCGGATGTATATAGTAATGACAATCATTATTGTAGAAAATTGCAATGGCCTCCAACTCGTAAAGCGTAACAAAGATGGACTCAAAGAAGCAAGTATGTACTTTTCTTAAAGGATTCGGACCAGTGATTTTAATTGCTTCCTGAGATCGATATCGCAAGATCCAAGCTCGTAATATAAATGAACGATCATTATATGTAAATAAGATCGTTAATGAAAAAAATGACAAATCAGAATTTTACACATTTAATCGATTATATATTCTCGGAAATAAGATGCATGTACCTATCTACATAAATTTCTGAGATCAATCGTTATACCAGTGTATCTTCTAATATATTCCAGAAGTGCACAATTTCAAAATATGTGATTAACATTAACATTAGAATCGAGACTAATTTATTACAATGCTCACTATTTCTTGAAGGGTATACTTACTTTCGCGCTGAACAAAGATTCGCTGTAATAATGATTCATTGTGAATAGCTTAACGGAGGGTACGATGAATACCCATGAATGACATTATCTCGCGTCTATTGCGATGAGCAAAGTGTTCGTTCTAAAATGCACCCCGTTATGGTCCGTTGCAGCCAGCACATCAGTGCTAAAGTAATTTCAAATCCTGTCACCCTCAACGGTTGGCTAAATCCCAATGTAAACAAAGAGCGTAAGGGCCTCATTGAGATTCATTAAAACTCTTACTGCCCCTTTCAACGCTACGAACTATGACGGTCCTCTTCCCAATCGCACTGTCTTTGTTCATAGGGCTTCTCTTATTGTCTCAACGTTAAAAGGTTTAAAAGTTTACCTTTGCCATTTGATTTAATTGTTTATTAAAAGCGACGCGAGACCAATTGTGTAATGAATAAATTAGAGAGAGAATTCTAATGGTGTCATCCTTTCCTGTACCGTATTTCGTGCCTCACGGAATAATGATTCACCCGTACAGCAGGCGCCAAATGTTCGTGCCGCTGAACATCGCGATCGCGCTTAAGTTGTTCGTGCCAAAGATGCAATTATGCAGTGGCGGATCGTCGGGCAATTGCTGGATATCGCATTACGTAAATCTTCTTTGTAAGATCGGTGATTACGAGGCTCACGGGCATCACGGTCGCACAATGACGCAGAATCCTCATTAAGTCTTGAGAGTATTTCGTTGTGATTGTGACCGAAGAAGGTTTATTTCCGAGAAAACAAAATGCGCCGGTGACTAATTTGTAACCAATTTTCTAAGCTCTGTTGTATTGTTCGTCGTTTTCTCGAGAAATATTCGACGGTAACGACTGATGCGACATTGTGCCGTAAAAACTGTATATCTAAGGGAGTTTTTGCTGTTCTTACTGTTCTCACACAATTAAACTTTACGCGTTTGCTGCCGACTGTATAAATATATGTCTTTTTTTCCACGCCTGTTTTTACCAAGTTCCGGCTTTCCAAGCATGCAAGGGTGCACCCTCGATTTCACGAGCAGGCAGCATTAACCGTCGACGAAGCGTAGAAAACGGAGTGCCTAATGTAGCGTGCCTAATCGAGCTTGCACTATATTGGGGAATCATCGATATACTTGGTATACTCGGAGTATATCTTGACAGTGTAAATATGTTGCAAATTAATGTTCTGGCAGCCCAAGGCTGTTCATTCTCCCACAGAATATGCTTCACAGAGTATCGTTATTTGTTGATGCCGAACGAAAGAGCGCATAAAAGCGAAAATAAACATATAAATTCGGGAGAAAACGATTTATATAGCTATGAAAGAGGAACTTGGATAATAGCGCGTCGATATTGTTAATATATGACATATTTATATGTTTAATATATTGTAATATATTTAAATCATGGAATTATTCATAAACGCGGAAAAATATTACAATATATGGTTTAATAACGAATAGAAAAATAAAACTTAATAAAAACAATTGTATTTCAATTAAATGATTAAATTGCAGGGCTTATAAAATGTCGAATTTACATACATTATATGTATCTACATACTAATAAATTACTTATAATCATAAAATTATATTGAGATTTATGAATATTGCAATAATCCTGAAATATTATGAATAATTATTCATTTGAATATAATTTAATTATTCACAGAATATGGAAAAATTTTATAAAATGCGACTAAATAAGATTTTATGTTAATAATTTTTGCACAGTGTCGATCAATTTCTCTTTAATCATTTATGCATGTGATATAATTAAGAAATAATCCATATCTATTAGCAGAATTGTTAAGAGTATTTTAAATTACATTTTTACAATTTATTATTTTTAAATTCTTTTTCTAATTATATTATTATTGTAGGCATATAACTTATTTATTTGTAATTAAAAGAATTAATAGCACATAAATTTGATGATATATAAATTTAAACATTATATTACGTAAAAATGAAAAAATCATGAAAATTCAATATTCGTTATTTTAAATGAAACATCGCAGAGACCGCCGTTAATTTTCTCATACGACACCGGTACTGTTGCCATACGAATTACAAGACTCGTTTAAGACATGACATATGGCTTTGACGAACGGTTTCCGAGAAAACAGAAACTCTTTCCGTAACGCGTTTACACCCTTCCTTTCACCACGAGAATACGCTGGCCAGAAATAGCTGGACGGTTTAAAACGATGCTTTATTCTAGAAAGAGTGACATTTACGGTTGTTTTTGTAGTGATGGATCAGTGAGAGGGTGGATGTAGACAAAAGTAACGATGCTGTCATTCTGTATCGTATAGATAGAAATTTATTGGGCTCGCAATGCTAACGCCTGTCTGTACAATTATAGTCTCGCGTGCTAACTACGTCAATTATGTACAAGGGATTCTTTCGTTTAGGCGCGATTCGTATACTCATTGATAACGTGTATGCACACGACGCAAAAATACATTATGTACAAAAATACAAAAGAGAAAGAAGGAGAAAAGGTATTGGCACACTCGAAATACATTTATGTAGGCAAGCAAAGCGCGTATCACATGGCTCAGATTCGCCGTTTCACCACCGGCAGTACAGGTTTCCGAAAATGGCGGTGCACGATCACGTACGTTCACCGGTTTTGGTTATCGCGGGTGACAGAGGTCGAAGGAGCGCCTAACACGTGGCGCAACAGTGGGAGTTCAGTCTTAACTTTTACAATATGAATAATTCACGCGATTTCTACATGTGCTTATTTACTACACAAGACAACGTCTTGACAAGTTTGAAATTAAAAATATACATATATTCCTATATAACTATTAGAAATATACATACATTTGTGTATGATTAAAATTTTATATTATTTTAAAATCTCTTTGTATGAAAATTAATAGTAAAATTTTATTATAAATTCGATTTTGACCGAGAGTTACTCTTTAAGCGATTTATTTAATTGCACTGTTTTGAAAAAAAGTGATGTGTGTATGTGTGTGTATATATATATAGCTATATATATTCGGATTGGTAAAAATTATGTTTTAAACGTGTTTTAAACATGATTTTTTATAATACTGTTTAAAGCATGAATGAAGCATTAAAGCATGTTTAAAAAAATACAATGTTTTTTTAAAGAAAAAAAACATTTTTGCCAACTCTGATATATATATATATATATATTTATACATATATGTATATATGCATGCATATATATTAAATTAGAATCTATTATGTCTATAGGTCTACTATACATGACTACTATAAATCGCTTAAATTATGCGAGAACCTAAGTACTAAAGTGATATATACACATATACGTTTTTATACTAAAGTCTCAATAGGATTCCTTTGAATAAAAATTTCGATATGTTTAAAAATTCAATGGAGAAATAGCAATCTAATAGCAAAGTTTAGTCCTATTTTACAGCCCGTAAACACGCTCGATTAAACATATCGCGTTAACTGCGTGTGAAAATCTTGTAAACAAATAAGTAATTGACTGAATGTTGGCCTCTCTTCTGCTGACATCGCCCAACAATATGCCATCACTGCGAACAACTCATCCGGACAGTTTATTGGCTGCGCCAACCTGTATCCCTCTCGGAGATAGGATGCCATTTCGAATGGATCCACTTCTCCATAAGGTTGTTGCGCCAACGTCGTTAGCTCCCACAAAAAAACGCCGAATGCCCACTAAAATTGGAGAAAATAATATGATAAAATGTCAATATAACAAGTATCATTTTGCGTGTCACACATCATTTTAATATGATCATTATTGCAATATAAATCGTGAATGTGGAATACAGATTTCAATTAAAATTTTAATTCGTCAAAAAACAAAAATATTTTTTTAATGATAATTTAAAACAAATAAATTAAAAGGGTTAATATTTATTTTTCTGTAGTATTTTTTATATTAATTCATATATGTTACTCACCACGTCAGAGGCTGTAGTAAAAGACTTATTGAGTAAACTTTCTATTGCTAGCCATTTAATAGGGCGATTTTCGTTATCGCCGAGGCAGTGGTAATCCTGTGGAAACAGATCTCTAGCCAAGGCATTATCCGTGATTTGCACTCTCAAGTCATCGTCCACCCTGAAACATGAAAATCCGTGAACTTGAGACGATGATCATCGGGAAAAGATCACGCAATTTCATTACCGCATCGTTATAAGTTGCTCTAAATGGAAATCAGACAGATACTAGCAATTAAAGCCTTACGGTAACACACTGGTTATTAAGTCTACGCGCAATTAATTCGGTAACGAGACGTAACGACTGCAGCTCTGTATGGCAATATAAAACCTGCCATAGAAAACCCAACCAAGCTATATTGAAAGCAATATATCTAGCAATAAAAATTATACGAACACTGAAAAATTTATAGAACGTAAAAAATTAAATCATCAAGGAAGTAATGCAAAATATATTTAGTCGAATAATGTAGAATATTTTTAGTGATACTCTCGGGAAGACTTACAATTATTTATCATTCTTACTTACACGCAATTTCTGGCAGCCAAGTCTCTATGAACGAGCCTCTTTCTGTGAAGGTATTGTACACCTTTAGCAGCCTGAAGTGCCATTTCGACGACTTCCTGCGTTGTAAGAGCTCTCGGAGGCCCTTCGTTACTAAACTTGCACCTCAATAGAAATCTTTTCATATTTTTGTAACCCGTGTGGGGGTACAGCAGAAAAGGCGCACTTCTGTCCTCAATGGAAACACCGAGGACCGGAAGTAACGCTGGATGACTGAGTCCATACA